CCTAACATCAACCCATGATCTTGACTTGTTTTTGAGAATCCTTCTTACCCTCCCTAGTCATCTTCTCTAATTGCATGGTGACCACAATGATGTTTCTTGAGATATTTCTGCATTTCCTTATCGTCCTGTTGTCTCTCTTCTGTAAATCTGCTTTGCAAGCTACTTGTGATTTTACTCCTTAAAAAGGGCCTAAAAATGGGTTCAGGGCTGCTCTCTTTAACACAATTCAGGAGGCAGCCATTACCCAGCTCTTGGGTACGCCCCAATGAAATCAAGCTTACTAAAATTTGGCTCACATTGTGGTAGTGGTCTTATTCTCACCTGGTGCAATGAACACTATAAATGCATTTTCTAAAGTGTGATTGAAAGGAACCCATTTAACTCAAAACTGGCTTTTCCTTTGCTTTAAGGCTGCCCCTCTTTGAGCTGTGGGCTGGGCTTTTTTGGTGATGCAGCTGCCCCAGTTCACTTGCATTTCTGTGAGTAGCTCCAATAAATTGATTGACTCACCATGCTGTACTTACATGGAATTTCTCCTGTCTGTCAGTGTCTTCCACGTGGGGTAAATAGATAAGTCTTTCTATGAACACAGAAAAGTTGTGGAACAGTAGGCCAGCACTGAAAATGAGTGACAGTCAGTGTAGATTCTTCCCATTACTTCACACGGAACTGCTTCCTTTTGTTTCTGTAAGCTCCTATCTTATTTAGGTTTTTTATTGCTGTGAAAATACACCATGACCACAGCAATTCTTATAAAGGAAATCAGTTATTATGGGCTGGCTTACAGTTTTAGAGGTTTAGTCCGTTATCATCATGGCAGCAACCTTGACAGTGTAAAGGCAAAGATAGTGTTGGAGGAACTGGGAATTCTACATCTGTCAAGATGTAGGCAACAGAAGAGACATGTGTCCCACACTGTGTGTCTCTTGAGCATGTGGGAACTTAAAACCTTCATCCACAGTGACACACTTCCTCTGCCAAGGCCATACTTCTTCCATCAAGGCCGCACCTCCTAATAGTGCCATTCCCTATAGGCTAAGCATTTAAGCACTTGAGTTTATCGGGGTCATACCTATTCAAACCTCCACAGGCTCTGTGTTCAAGCCAGTCCCTGTGGTGGTTTGAATAAAAATAGCCACCAGAGATCCCTTAGGGAAGGGTGCTACTAGGAGGAATGACCTTGTTGGAGGAGGTGTGTCACTACGGGCCAGCTTTGAGCTCTTCGATGCTCAAGCCAGGGCCAGGGTGTCCTTCTCTTCCTGCTTCCCACTAATCCAGATACAGTTTTCCCAGTTCCTTCCCCAGAACTGTGTCTGTCTGTATACCACCATACTTCCTGCCATCACTATAATGGGCACAAGCATGTCCCAGTCAACAAAGCTGAAAGGAGCTGGAGATCTGAAGAGCATTTTGACATCAAACATGGAGAGGTAAAGTTTGTATATTGCCCAGCTGGTTTTTGGTCTTGCTTTGGTTCAGTATTTCCTCACTATGTTCCCTTTTCTGCTTTTTGGAATGACAATCTATATCCTGAACATGATGTTGGAAGATTGCATGAGACTTTGAAATTTTAAGAAGGTTCGAGATTGCTATAAATAGACTGTTGGGACATTCGAAGTTGGACAAAGTACATTGTGATATGACTACAAGGCTATGAGGGCCTCGTAGTGTGGTAGTGTGGTGGTTTGAATCAAAATGGCCTCCATAGGTCCATAGGCTGTGCCGCTATTAGGAGGTGTGGCCTTGCTGGAGGAAGTGTCTCACTATAGGTAGGCTTGGAGTTCTCAGATGATGAAGATAGGCCTGTTGGGTCCATGAGGATAGCACAAAGATGGGCACAGATCACCAAAGACTAGTAAACCAGAAGCAAACTTTATTCTGGGAAAAAAATTTAAAAATGAAAATAAATAAATAAATAAATAAATCTCCATGGGCCCAAAAATCTTATCAGCTATGTGAGACCACAGCTAGAGTTTGGACTTGTAAGGCTGTGGCAAAGGTCAGTTTCCAAACTCCTCCTTTTATAGCAAGCATTAGGCAATAACAAAGGAATTTTTAGTGTCTTGAGGTGAAACTTAGACACAAATTGCCCTTCTTTGCAACTTTCAGTTACAGAAGTTTTCAGTTAAACTAGTGTTTATATTTAGTCCATTGTTTTTCCATGCTGTCCCCTGATAGTATTTACCAAGGCTCTGCACCTCCCCTGACACTGCCAGTTTCCCATAGCAGGGAGGGGTAGGGGAAAATGCACAACTGAAATGTCACATACACCCCACCACTTAAAGGTTAACTCAGCTCATATTCAGTTGTTGATATTGAGTGGTCAGTTTACAGAGCTGACCCTCAGTTTGCAGAGGGCTTCTTCAGTCTTGCAGAGAGAGCTGTTTACAAAACAGAGCAACTAATCCTTAAGCTGCTGAGAAAGCTACTGACAGCCTGCTCTCACTCTTCTAGGCTTACAACTTTATATTTCTTTATTTCTACATTCTTATGTCTGGAATCTACATTTCCATATTCTTATTCTTGGACTCTTCTGTTCTACTGTGGCGTTTTTTTCCTGCTGCCTGTTGATCTGATGTAGAACTCCAAGTCCTTCTTCAGCACATGTCTGACTGCACACTGCCATGCCTCCTGCCATAACAATAATGTAATGCACGTCTGAACTGTAATCCATCCCCAATTAAATGTTTTCCTTTATAGGCATTGCCATGGGCATTGTATCTCTTCACACCAACAGAAACCCTAAGAGTTCCTATCCACCAAAATATTATTGATCACTCGCTGACAGTCATGCTGTTTAATACAAAAAACACTGACATGGATATTCATACCTTCCATGCAGTACCTGAAATGCAGCTAACTAGAGATGGCCCTGTTCCCTTTCTTACTATAGCCACCGCTGTAATTGGTTTTTTATTCTTTGTTCTTTGAGAGGTCTGCCACCCAGTTCCCAAATAAATCCCACAGAGACATTCTTTCTTATGAATGCTCAGCCTTGGCTTAGTTTGTTTCTAGGACACTTTTCTTAACTTAAATTAACCCGTCTACCTTCTGCCTCTGGGCTTTTACTTTTCTATAGTCTATATTCCTTTCTTTCCTTCTTACTCCACAGCTGGCTATGTGGTTGGGTGCCTGACCCCTGGCATCTACCTTTCCTTCTTTTTTTGTTACTCCCTCTTCTGTTATTTATTCTCTCTGCCTGTCAGTCTACTTATCCCTCTCTCTTGTATAGTTATTGGTTGTTCAGCTCTTTATTATACCACTCAGGCATTTTAGACAGGCCTAGTAACACAGCCTCACAGAGTTAAACAAATGCAATATAAAAGAATGCAACACTTCTTTGCATCATTAGAAAAATATTCCATGGCATAAACAAATGTAACATATCTTCAACTAATATTGAATACAACACACCCCCATTGTAGTTTTTCAGAACATAATTCATAAATCCAGTCCATTATCAGTGGGACTGCCAGTACAAATGTCTGATAAACATGCAAACTTTAAATATATTATTTGGTTAGTCTTTTAAATTTATATGTATATGCGTGTGCCTGCATAAGTCTATGTGTACAACATGCATGGAGGAGTCTATGGAGGCAAACAGTAGGTTGACATGGACCAGCCTCAACAAAAACACATCTTGTCAGGGTAGAGGCAAAGGGATTTAGAAATAGAGATAAGAATATGAAAATGAAAATAATAACATGGAGAAAACGCCTTTAATATCAGCACATGGGAGGCAGAGGCATGTGGATCTCACACATATCATCCCCTGAAATACTTTGTAAATATGTCTCCACTTAGGCAAAGGTGGAAATGGATTACTGGAAAAGAAGAGCCTACCAAATAACCAGATACTAGCTTGTCAATCAAACTGCATGTCTTCCTGCTGCTGCCCAATCTTTCTCTCTCTCCAGTTCCCTTTTCTTCTTCCATCTCAGTTACTCTTCCTTTCCATTGATGTGGGCTATCAGGGATCATCTTTATGAATCCTGAGAGCGGACACTACAGTTTTCCATTGCTTGAACTTAATAAATATGTTATTGGCTTAACATGGATAAATCTGTAGAACAGTATCAGTTGTAATTTCCCAAAAGTCAAGCAAATGAAGTCTAAGCTCATCCCAAGCATCATCTTCCTACGGAGAAAAGCAGCGCTCAGGTACCTGGGTTGCATCAGGCATGCTGACTAACATGAGTTGTGTAGAATGAAATAACCTTCTTTATGTTTTCACATCCCACGTGCTGCTCTCATGTGCACAGCTTTCTCCCCTGTTGCCCACTAGATTCCTGGGAGTTGGTTCAGCTATTCCATGCAATCTGGAGTACCGTGAAAGATGAACCTTTACAGTACTGTCAACAAATTTCACAGAAAGAGCTTGTGATTCCAGTGAATTTTAATGAACGGGTTTTAGTGGAGGGAAAAGCATCACACATAACACACTATATCAATAGCACAGAAAAAAGTGGGCAAACTTCTTATGTCATCTTCAGTCTGTAAGGTCCCATCAAGCTTTCCTTGCATTACTGTCCCCACACTTAAGTCTCTCATTAGCTGTGAATGGGTGTCCAGGAATATGAGACCTCTCCTGCTTTCAAACTCTCTCCTTTGCTCATTTCTTTTGCTCTGAGGTTGTACTATAGTAAGCGTTTATGATGATCAAAATTGAATTCTAATTGCAAAAGACTTTTTTGTCCAGGACACTGGCAGGCAGAGGATGAGGACTTTCTTTATTACAGCACAGATATAATGAATAGAGTTTGTGACAGGACTCAAAGCACTGAGAACAGCAGGAGTCAGTCCTGGCCATTAAGTGAGCAGGTGTTGTGGGGACAGAACTTCCTTCTAGGCAGGACAATAAGGGTGAGAAAAGGGAACATGAGCCAATGCATTTAGGTACTTGGATTACAGCAAGAATTCAGTTCTGGGGAAAGCAGTCAGTTAGGAGGGATGGAATCTCAGTGATGAGTACATTATCTTCACAAGGTGAGCTGCATTCAGAACTCAAGGTTCATCTCCCCAGTGAGCCTCAGAGCCTTCTCATAGTACAGCAGGGCCTCAGGCATGTTCCCTTTCAGCTTGTGGACTAACCCAAGGAGGGTGGTGCTCTCCACAGGTTGAACATTCTGCTTAACCCGTCTTTCAGCCACTTTCTCCAAAGCTATGAGTAGTTGCCTCCACACATAGGATGTTTCTTCTATTTTTAGACCTTTTAAGTAGTGGGTAATCGCCTTGTCTTCTGATTTTTGATGATATTGCTGATAACGGCCATAGTATAGATGAATGTATTGTTTTTTGTGACCTGCAAGCTTCTGCATATTCAGCACCATCTGGAAATTTGCTTCCGCTTCTTCATATTGGTGAATTCCTGCTTGTACTTCAGCCATGCAAACGTAAGCTGCATCAAATGTGGGCCTCAGTTCCACAGTCTTCTGAAATTTAGAAATGGCCCGTTGTGCCAATTCCTTAATGCTGCCCTGCCTTTTGGACAGTGTGTTTCTGGATGTCTTTAGTTGGAGCATTTGTTTCTTGTAGCAGAGCCCAATTTGGTAATGTAGGTAGCCAGAGTTAGGTGATGTCTGCAAGGCCTTGTGTAGGAGTTGGAGAGCTTTGTCTATGCAGCCTTTTCTTCGGTAATACTTGGCTGCATAACGAAAGACATAGGTTTGACAGGATGTGCTGCTGAGGGCTTCTTCAATGTGTCTTTCTGCTTCATGTGTTTCTCCTATGTCCTGAAGTTTCAGGGCAAGATAAACTTTAATATATGGATCTGCTGGATTTAACATGACAGCCTTCCTTAGGGGTCCCAGAGACATTTTATTGTCATCAAAGTATTCACGATAGGCGGCTATTGCATAGCCAGTGTTGTATTCGGGGTTTTCAGGCTCAGCTTCCACAGCTTTTGCAAAGCAGGCCATGGCGCGTCTATAATTCTGTCCTCCACACTTCAGCAAGGCCCAGCCTTCCTCACAGTGCATCTCGGCACACTCCATCCTGTAGCGGAAGGGACTTGCAAAGTCCTTGCAAGTATTCTTTACCTTGTCCAGGTAGCTCTGGGCTTCTGCCAAGCTGCCCATGTGGTAATGCACCCAGGCACAGTTGCCCCAGGTCACCACGCTTCTCTTGCCCAACTGCTCTCTCCTGGCCAAGGCTTCTGCTTCTCTCAGGCTCTGCAGGGCTTCCTCATGCTGGCCTTTCAGGTGTCTCACGTAGGCCAGGAGGTTGTGCATCCTCACTGGGCTCATGATGTCTAGGAACTCGACCTCCTCCGAGATTCTCATTTCCAAATCAGGTATGTCAGCGTCTTCAAACAGCAAGCTCCACGTGAAGTGACAGCTCAGCTGAAGGAGATTCTCCTTGACCTGATCAACACCCGCATTCTCTCTGCCAGAAAGAAGCAGAAAGATTTTTCATGTACAACTTGACCAGAATCTGAAACATTATTGCTTATTTTCTGGAAATCTAACATTTTGCCCATTTAGAATATCTTTTTTTATTCTTTTTTTATTACTTTATTTTTTTATTAAAGATTTCTATCTCTTCCCCTCCACCGCTTCCCATTTCCCTCCCCTTCCCCAATCAAGTCCCCCTCCCTCATCAGCCCAAAGAGCAAGCAGGGTTCCCTGCCCTGTGGGAAGTCCAAGGACCACCCACCTCCATCCAGGTCAAGTAAGGTGAGCATCCAAACTGCCTAGGCTCCCACAAAGCCAGTATGTGCAGTAGGATCAAAAACCCATTGCCATTGATCTTGAGTTCTCAGTAGTCCTCATTGTCTGCTATGTTCAGCAAGTCCGGTTTTATCTCATGCTTTTTCAGACCCGGGCCAGCTGTCCTTGGTGAGTTCCCTATAGAACATCCCCATTGTCTCAGTGTGTGGGTGCACCCCTCGCGGTCCTGAGTTCCTTGCTCGTGCTCTCTGTCCGTCTGCTCCTGATTTGGACCTTGAGATTTCTGTCCGGTGCTTCAATGTGGGTCTCTGTCTCTGTCTCCTTTCATCGCCTGATGAAGGTTAATATTCAGGAGGATACCCATATGTTTTTCTTTGGGTTCTCCTTATTTAGCTTCTCTAGGATCACTAATTATAGGCTAAATGTCCTTTGTTTATGGCTAGAAACCACATATGAGTGAGTACATCCCATGTTCCTCTTTTTTGGAATATATACATATTAGAGTACTACTCAGCCATAAAAAAACAAGGACTTTGTGAATTTTGCACGCAAATGGATGGAAATAGAAAGCACTATCCTGAATGAGGTAAGCCAGACCCAAAAAGAGGAACATGAGATGTACTCATTTAGAATATCTTGATATCTGCTTTTTGCATCAATCCCTCAGCTCCACTTACTAGAACTGCCTGAGTCTCCTTGAACATGCATGTCCATGTGCAAGTACTTAAAATCTTAGCTTTTGAGTTAATCCATTCATTGAAGACTGACACGGTCACAGAGATACAGGCCCATCCGCAATCTTGTCGGACTCCTGCCCTGAGATGTGGAACTGGGTAAAGCTATGACCCCTTCCCCACTGTTTTTGAGGACAAAGTGTACAAGTGCATGCCACCTGAGCTGACCTAAATAGGAACTGTCCGTGGGTTCAACACCAACTATTGGTCATCGCAGGTCCTTCCCATTTCATCTCAGACACCAACAGCTGGAACCATGTCAGAAGAAGCTGACTCAGAACAAATAAATGGTCAAGCTCTCTGCCTTGTGACACTAGCGATATGATTTTCTCTGGATCTTTTTTCTCTTGGCAACATAGGTGTGGGGGGAATCACCTTAGCTGTCCTCTCCTAGGGTTACAAAGAATCCCTACATTCAAAACATGCATCTACAATTCATGTGCTTTCTTGTCTCCCAGTGGAGCAGGACAAGCTCTTTTCTAGAGTGTATCACCATGCCTCGGGATCACACTGTACCCATCTGTGTATAGGGAATATCAGTGTTTCCTGTTTCTGGACTTTAGGGAGATTGGTGAGGCTAAACACATGGATATGTTATAAACTCCACAGGAGTTTCCTGCTTTTCTATCAGTGTTGAGAGCAAGAGATAGAATTGTGTGACTCGGGTTTTGTAGGCACCCACAGCAGCACCTTTGAGTCTTCCATGGCTAGATGGCAAAAGGCCCTTAGTCCTGTTGGTAGTTGTCTGCCAGAGGCCAGAGATGCCATAGTGCTTAAATCAGCTGTCTTTGGCTTTGATCTGATCAGATGCCAAGAATAGCAGAAGGAGGTCGCATACCCTGTTAGGTCTGTCCCGTAAAGGAACACTCTAGCATGGAGTCCTTACGTGTTGACAAATAGAACATGACAGCCATTTAGAAACCTCATGAATCAGCCAGTTGGATTCACCAGCCAACCAATTTCTTATGCTACTATCCTGAAAATGTTGTGATCAAAATCCTGATGATTCTGGATACCCCCACTTCTGGGTCAACATCTACTGTAGAAACTTCATCTTGTTTCTTTCAGTTAAGTTCTTATAAGACGTCTGCTTTCTGATAACCCCCAACTAAGGTCCATGAACTCCAGTTTTAAATACTACAAGACCAGAATACAGCAGCATCGCCTCAAAGGAAGCTTTGTGTGACAGGCAAAAATGATAGAAAATCTCCAAGATGTTGCTGTAATAAAAATGGTTTTGCATACAAAGATTTAAAATAACTACAAACCTAAAATAATCAATACATTACGGCACTAGAGAAATATTCATATGAGAGAAAAGGGCATATATACTACAGCGGATTGCATTACAGAAAGACATGGGGCAGAACAATGAGTGCATGGTAAAGCCCTTCTGCCTACAGGTGACCATAGGAAAACTCTATGGGCCTAGTGGCTTGCACAACAGAACTTTGGGGGCTCTTTATATTTGAATAATATTTTTTCTTACATAACAACCTCAGTTCTCTCTTTTTTCTTTCCTCCTGCCCCCAACATCCCCTTCTTTTCACCCTCCATCCACTCCTCAGAAGGAAAGGCCTTCCTTGGGGACTCAACAAAGTATGGCATACCAAGTTGAGGCAGGACCAAGACTATTCCCCCTGTATCAAGGTTGAGTAAGGTAGTCCACCATAGGAAATGTGCTCCAAAAAAAGTCAGTTCATTACCTGAAATAGGTCTTGATCACACAGCCAGGGAGCCCCACAATAGATCAAGATACAAGACTGTCATCCCCCCACTCAGAGAACTTATTGCAACACAATGCAGATTCCACAACTATCAGTCCATAGTCTGTGAGTTTCAACTAGCTCTGGTCAGCTGTCTTTATGATTTTCCCACCATGCCCTTCACCCCTCCCCCAGTCTTGTTCATATGATCCCTTCTCCCTCTCTTCAATTGAATGCCAGGAGCTCAGCCCAGTGCTTGGATGTGGGTCACTGCATCTGCTTCCATCAGTTACTAGATGGAATTCTGTGATGACAAGTAGTGTAGTCAGCACTAAAAAGCAGTGACTTCTTGAAATTTGCAGACAAAAGGATGGAACTAGAAAAAGCTTCCTGACTGAAATAACCCAGTCCCAGAAATACAAACACAGTATGTACTCACTCATAGTGGATATTAGGCATTCTGGCAGGGTTCTGAAAAATTGAGATAGAAGAAAGAGAAGAACACAACACTTCCCTAGCAAATGTAGACTCTTAGAAGTGACAATCTGGAAGCATCTACTCTGAGACAGGTACCTTTGATTTAGAGAAGCACACATCTCAGTAAGGGACTCGATGGATAGATGTCCCTTCCATTTTGGAAATCTTAGAATCTTTTGATTAGTTTTGAATGCCAGTTCTCTATGTAAGAACAGAGATAGAATTCACCTCCAAACTTTTTGAAAATTTTACTAGTATGAATGACCAAAGATGAGCTGCACAAAGATGATAACAATGGACAGGAAACATACAGATCAGATAGGAATAGTCAGTGAAGTCTCAATGATACACAAAGAACAATGAACAACCAGTACAGTGGGGATGGGAGAGGAGATATCTCCCTGGCTAGGCTGTACAGCACTAGATGTCGAACCCTGATGCCATACATAACAAGAAACAGTATAAATGCTGGACAGGACCATAAACATATCTATGTTTATATACGTGCATACATTAACAATCAATGAAAAAAGGAGGCAGTGATTTAGGAGCAGATTAGGAAGGGTAAATGTGAGGGCCTTGAAATAGGAAAGGAAAAAAAGTAGAAATGTAATTATATATTAATCACAAATATAAACAAAAACCTTGTTTACTTTACATTAAAGTAAATGAAGAACAAGCAAAAACAATATTTTAAAGCAGTCATAACTATCAGGAAATGACATTTTAGGGGCTTCTTCTAAGCCTTGTTCTCTCCATGTTTCTCCTTATCTCACGGAATTTCAATTGTGTTTGTGGAGGGGCTGCAAATGCCAAGGCCCACCTATGAAGGCCGGTGGACAGCATTAGGCGCTGGTCTTCACCTGCTTGTTTTCTGAGAAGGAAAGACAGTGGTCTGCAGCTCTGCTCTCAGTAATTGCACTGAGACTGCCATTCTCCCGCTTCCTTGGCAAGCCCTTTACCACTGAGCCATCTCTTCAGCACCTGTCTAGGTCTCCAAGGGAAACAACTGTGAAGCTTCTTCCTCCTGTCACATGATATTTCAGATCTTACAGGGACTTGCATGAGATTGAGGTCCCAGAGAGAGCAGCATCAGTGACCATGTTTGAAGCTTGTTGAGTAAAAACACTGACAGCCCTTCCTTCCCTTGGCTTCAAGCAATGAACAGAGAATGCTTAAAATGTCCTTGATGTACCAACCAGCAGAGGTGCCACAGCTCTTTGTTCATGCCGTATAAAGGGTCATGAGCTTCATGGACCAGTTCTCTTTGGGCTTATCCCTCATCTCACTTGTCCATTCTAATTTCCACAGCACTGTTTCATAATAAAATATTTCTATTTCTCTTTCTAATCTTATACCCCTGGTAGAGTTCTATTGATGCTGGACACAATTATTTGGATATTTGAAAAGTGCCTCTGGAAATGGTTGGCAGTTGTCGCTGTACTCAAGTCTTTACTGATAACATTTGGTAAGCCAGGTTAGAAAGAGTTAAATGCAGAAGTTTTTTTTTTTAATAGTCTCTGTGTCTGCCTGTCTGTCAGTCTCTCTGTCCCCCTCTGTCTCATTCTGTTTCTCTCCTCTTGTTCTGTCTCTGTCTGTTGAGCAGCACAAAGTCCTTGTCCCCTCAGATGAGCATGAATGAAACCAGCAATGATAGACACATAGGATTATTTCTTCAATAAGAAATATGGATAACTTGTTTTTCCACCCTGAAGGCTGGGAATAGAGATCATTCATAGCCTGGTGATTGTGCTCTCTGTAGAGCCAGATCTACAATGCTCCCAAAGCAGGACCAGAGG